AATGTAGACAAATTTTTCAATGGGGCACCAGTACCTGAAGTTTGTGGTAAAATGCCTGTTGAATATGTGAAACCCAAAGTGGTGACATTTACATCGGAATTCATGTTGGATCAGTCAACAAAAGTATTTGAAGTAAGAAATAAATGTGACTAGAACAAGGGTAATTGAACCTAAATTCTTTAAAAAAAAACAACAGAGTAAATGAAATTAAACTACTTCAAGAACTAATTCAATCTCAAACACTAATCAAAACAAAAAAAGAAAGACCTCCAAGTGCAAGCACTACCAAACAAGAAGTGATAGTTCGGTAGAAGAGCATAGAGTTACATGCATCACACGAGTGTACTATTCTCCAACTGGTGGTGAAGTGACACATGATGATTTGCATAAGAGACATGTTGGAATCATTTGATTCCAATAGGGGGGTGCAGATGGTTTGTGGGATACATAATAAAAAAGTTTGCATACAGAGGGCAGCAATGAATAAGAATAGCTAATCTTGTGACAGGAAAGAAGTACCATATCGAAATAATATTTTTAGTAAAGTATTTTTAATAAACTAAAATAAAGATTTGTCCACAAATATATTGAGTATTTGTTTTTAATAATCTATGTGCAAAGCAACTATCATGTTAAGATTAAAAATACTTTTCTTCAACTAAAAAATTCCAAATTTCATTTGTGTAATCTCTAAAACCTACTAAATACACTTCAAACGTTTCTTTTCCGTAAAACTTTATATTTTATCTGTTACTTTCTCTACCCTAACTTTATACAAGGTGACAGGAGGGGTCTGATTTTCTATTTGATAGCTATGTAACCAAACAAAAATTATGGTTGGTCTCAGAGCAATTACATTTTTACAGTGATTAATTTATGTCTAATTTTGTAGTTTCTTGGAGGGTGGTGGATAAAATAGAGATGAGAAGATACTTATGTGAGTGTGTCATGTCAGTCACACAAAGGGAAACTCAGGATATTTTTAAATATTGCCTTATAAAATTAAGAACTTAAAACTCATATACTATTAAAATATGGGTTATTAGCTAAGATTTTATGCTATTTTAATTGGTATAACCCAAAAAAAAGTAGTCTAATAAAAATTTGAATGTAAGACACTAAAACCTTGTGTCATGTGCAGTAAAGGATATCTGGGGAAAGAGGGTTAAGGTCTCAGTCAGGCAAAGAGAAAAAAGGAAAAGAAGAGGGGAAGAAACACATCTTGATACCAGAAAAGCAGAAAAGTCATGGGCTGGGCCACCCACAACTAGGAAAAGCTGAAAACAAGAATCCATTGACAAACAGTTAGGTAAGGATGGCAGAAGTGGTGTACAGAATTACTGCCAAGAGAAAAGAGGTGTAGGAAGAACCAATGAAAAAAAAATGAGTTACCACAGATGATGATTAACAAATACAGTGTAATAAATACAAGAATAATGCCATTTTAGTGGAAAGTTCAACCTGACAGGAGACAGATTGGGCAACTTCCACGTGTGAGGGTGGGGAGAGGTTATCCTTCTATAAAAAAAGGAAATGTGAGAGTGAGAGAGGGGATAATGGGAAGAGAAAGAGGGGGTCCAAATATCAAATGGACCAAGGTGGTCAAAGAGATACCATTGATAGTGCACAAAAAGATCTGTAATGTGTAAATACACTGCCCAAAAGGAGGAGACGAATAGGGAAGTAGGTATAGAGAATGAGGTAAGACAAGGCCTTGGTGAGAAATTGACAGAAACTAAGAATGAGGAATAAGTGACAATAAGAGAGTGGGAAGGGAGGCAAAATCATCCAAGATGAATGTGTTTAACAAAGGTTAAATGGTAAATTACATGGAAGATCTGGGGGTGTAAAGGTTTTCCATTGATAGAATACAGACTGGCAGACCAAGATTGAAACTCCTGGCATAGAAGTGTGTGGTTAATGCCCAAAACAAAAAGCTTTGAAAAAGGAGTCACAAGGATGGTTGGAGCAGAAAAAGATCATGGAATAGAGCGAGGCGAACATGACCAAGTGAATCATCAATAGAAGCAGGAAGGAGAGCATGTCCAATGAAAAGCAAGAAGGTTGATCATGTTATTGTGGAGTGAACTCTTGTCTAGTGTCCAGATGTCAGAAACTGTCCTCATTAAAAAATGTATCCCAAACAGAGAGAGAAGCATTGAAGAAGGAAGATATCTGGCTTGAGAGACATTAAGGGAACTCGGGAAGTAGTAAAGGCAGGGTCTAGTTACTGTGACAATTCCTTGAGGAAAGGCTTACAAAAGAGGACAAAGGACCCCAAAAAAGATAAACTTTGGTCCACAAGTTGCACTATAGGAGATACATGAGGAATGACGGGTTTTAGGGACGCCAGTCTCTAAAAGCAAAAAAAAAACCTCTCATGCAGGGAGAGAATGGGAAGTGGAAAACCTGATGACCAAATATGTCATAGTTCACAGGCAAATATGATAGGCTGAACTCAGTTGAACTGAGAGAGAAAGAAAATGCTCAAAAGTACCAAAACTAAGTGGGTGTGAGAAAGAGCTTAGACCCCCACAAAAGAGATTAGAAGGAAATCCAGAAATATATTGAAAAGTTAGAGTCCTTTCATGAATGGTAAAGTACTACCCAAAGCAAATCAGGTGAAGGTCACAGTTTAATAGATCACTTCTGATTGAGGAGAAGGAAATCTGACAGACGAGATGAGAGAAGGAGGCCCATTAAGAATGTTGCAATTCAAAATATGTTGCACAATGGCTGTAACAACTCTAACAATTAACAAGCCTCCAATTGAACAATGTCCCACATTCAGGACTAAGTATAAATCACCATTAATTGAGAACTAATGATAAAAATTTGAAAGCCTTTGAAACAAAAGCCAAAAAAAAATGAAATTTAAAAAAATTTCATTAACGAAGCAAATAACAATAAATTGAACACAGATGTGAAATGTCCGTGTTCTACTATGCCAAGAAAAAAAAAGAAGATTCACAAGTGCAATTGTTTAGGGGCAGTTAGTGTGCATGGAGATGTGTCCCCCTCCTACTGGTGCAAGGCTTTTGACACATGATATCATCATCATGCAGTAGTGCAATTCATGTAAGATCACATGAAATTAGGTGGAAGTTGCCTCAAAGTTAGTGACATACAAATTTCTTTGGCAGACACACTGAGGAAGATAGCCAACCAGTATAGAGGTGAGTTACTGTTTTGGAATAAGTGGATCCCAATGGTAATGAAGTCAGTAGTTTGGGGGTCATATCCATAAATAGCTTAACATTCGCTACAGGTATGTTTTTTTGTGCATGTCACAAGGTTCTAGTGAGTTACATTTGACATTTAAAGTACTTTGTTCTCATGTTATATGAATACACTTGGCTTCAAAATGTAGCTAATAATTCAAATTTTAAAATTATACGAGTTTTAAGTTATCAATTCTATAAGGCAATATTGAAAAAAAAACAACCCTCAATTCCCCTTATATAAGAATTGTGACATTTGCTTTCGGTATCCCCCCTCCTTTCTAATTTATTTAGCACCCTTCCAAGAAGTACAAAATTTAATATAAATTACTCATTATAATGTTGTCATTGCTCAGACAAAGGATAATTGTTATAGCCTTCAATCTTATTTGGTTACAGAGATATAATCTCTTGTCACATCCTCTCTTTCACAAATTGCCAATGGCTCTGAGATTTAATACTATATTATTTATAACCAATAGAAAGCCAAGGCTTTAATCAATCAAATGATGTATTCTACTACCATATTTTCAGGACAGAGAATTGTCTATTTTGTTTTCAGTTCAAATTATATTCCCAAGGGAACCATTAATGAGCTTAGCTGAATTTTTAACAGCTCTTGTTACATAGTTAGAAAGACAGAAAAATGTTGATAGTTATGGGGACATTGTCTGCTATTTGCATGTTATTATCCTGTGTTCTTTGGTGTAATATTTAATTAATATATAAAGTTATTTAGTGCAGTAGTACCTTTAGTATAAAACGGTAGGGTTAAATTAAACCAACCTAAAAAAAAAGACTGAGGTAAGCTGTTTATTTCTTGTTTTCATGTGTATTTTTTATTTATTCTTATAGAAGTGCCTGAAATGCAAAAATTAGAAACTTTTTGCATTAGATGCATTTAGAGTTGGTAATATAAATAATAATAATAACAAATTTTCTCAAGGTATGCTTATGAGCAACTCTTGAGTACCCTGTGCACGACTTAATTCAATACAATAATGTGAGCTACACATTTGCCAAGTGACTAACAAACCTGTGTGGTGAGAATATTAGTCATATATGGTTCAAAGAGCAGTAAAACAATAAAATTTAAGTAGAAACAGATGTATACAGTTACAAGTTCAAAGCTATTTAGGATAAACAAGTTACAATTTGAAGTCATTCTAGAAGGAAAGGAAGGTAATTTAAATTTATTTCGATTCTTTTAGTGTTTACAGAGTCAGTCACATTGACCAACCTCTTATAGAGTTAGGCTAGAGAAAATAATAGATAAAATTCAAAGCTTTAATGAACAAAATGATTGAAATTTATTTAGGTCTTAGAGACTAAACAAATAAAATATAAGACTTTTCAGATGAAAAAGTTTCTTTAATCTAAACATAAAAATCACTTTGTATTTGGAGCAGTCAACACTTTGACTCAATATATTTATAGAAAAAGTTTTTGTGAAAATACTTCATTCAAAATTCTGATTTTTTCTTCTACAAATAACTTTTAATAATTACTGAAAGCTTTTGAAATTTTGTGGATATACACAAAATATGTTAAAAGTTATAGTAGGGAAACTATAAAGGTCAATTACAGGTCCTAAACTCAGGCAATTCAGCCAAGCCCATAGTGAGAGTTAACCATGCAAATATCACCCAACTTTTATGGATCACTATCTGAATTTACAGTTATCATCTGACTTTTAAGTACTAATATTTGGTGGTCCAGACACTTTTTTTGCTTTTTTTTTAACATAGTGTTTCAAAAATGCAATTATTCATAGTTTACCCAAAATCCTGCTGGTACATCACCAACTACCTTTCGTATGCCTGCTCCATCACTTGCTGTAAAGAAACAAGAATTAGTAAACTAGTAAATGCCACAAGTCAGTGTAATTATGAATCTTATCACATTTGCAATCTCCAGCTTGTTTTTTTAGGCTTTATACAGAACATGAAACATTACATGTCAGAGTAATAATTACTACTGTTTCTATGTTTAGCATTTCCATCATAACAAGTTCTGATATTAAATAGAGAAAATAATTAAGAGTAAATATTAAAATAAAAAATTTCTTAGGTCAAGTGTAATTTTAACAACATTTGTCAGGTTAAAATACCTTATTCCTTTGTCAGTTTAGACATTTTGTAACACCACTGCACTGACTTTCTTATACTTGTTTCATTTAAAACAGTTTCACTACTTAACCAGCTTAAGTATTTTACAAAAATACATTAAATATTAATCATTACATTATTATCTTTCTTTTTTTTGGTTTTCAAAAACATATGTGTTGGTGAAGTTAGCAACTGTTTGGTAAATCCTGAACAGCAGAGTTTAACATGTAATCATAACCTAAAACAATTCATTTTACAGTTCTCCAATAAAGCATGCAACTTTTGCAAATTATTGCACTCCCGATGATGACAAAGTAAGATGTTGAAACATGAAGAGTGTATGAGACTCTGCCCAGTCTCAAGGTTTTTAAGTTTTATACATCAAATTATTGAGTAAAATTTTTTTCGTATTTTGAGATTGGGGACAGTCTCATTTTTATATATTTATTGTGTACTACTACTACATGGTGATTTCTTTAAACAACTGTGTTACTTAACAAAATGATTACTAAAAACAATATGGTATGATAAGTAACTTATAGAATATTTAATATTATGCTGACTTGAAGCTTCAACAGTGTGAAAACTTTGTTACAGTATTGACATAGATTAGCTAACAATGCTTCAATATTTGACTTCTTGGCTTTCAGCAACAAAACATTCATTAATAACAATATGGTTATAGAGGTGAAAACGGTATATATAAATATGAAAAAAAATTAGAATATTTCATCTGCTGGATTTCAGCTACAAAACTTTTAGTGATAGCATTATGGTATAAGAGTGAAAACAATGTTACAACAGTTAAATACGTAAACTTTACCTAAAAAAAAATTACACTGACAACAGTATGGTGAAAACATTGAAACAATATAGTATATTTGAACACTATGAAAATCTATGCTAAAATATTAGTACTCAGAACATTATGATATTGATATAAAGCAATGCTAAATTATTTGTATACAGTGTTGAGTTTAAAAAGTAAAACATTTAAACTTACAATTATATGGTATAAACATGAGACAATGTTATGATATTTAGATATAACTTTGAGTCGAACAACTAAACTTTTACCGAAAATATTTTTTGAAAGTTATTAAATTTATTTTGCTATAGCTGCCTTTGTTTCAGTTATTCTCAAACACATGACATCTATTTTGCCTATGGGAGGATATTGTTGCAATAATAAACATAGTGCAATGTTGTTAACTGCAGTGTCCTCCAATAGTAGTTCAGGTAATATCTTGAGGTTATAGTCTCACCTGCATTTGAATGAGCAACCATAAGTGTAGCCTAGTCATCTTGGGTGTGCACAGTGTTTTTTGAAGTAAGAAATGCTGGACTTAGTCAGGCTGGTAAGTGGATTCAGTCTGACCAGTTGAAGGCAGAGGGTCCAGTAAAAGCAATTATCATATGTCAGTAAAACACGCAGTGTTTTTATTAAGCCTGTTGTTCATTTCATGCATTTCATTTTGTGTCCAATCTCTCTTTTTCATTCAGTCTCACAACTATGTTATTCAGACATGCATCATTATTTCATAATAGTTATCTTGAACAAATCTCCTATTATTAAGTAAATCTATCCCATTGCTCTGAGATTGAGTTTTACTTGAATATACCATATAGTTATGCAAATAATGTTAGAATAATTGCATATCATATTGACTCTAGGAAAAAAACTTTGAATAACTAGAACATGATATAGATGTGAAAATAATCTTAGAACATCTTATGTGTTGGCCTTTTGCACTAAAATTTGTACTTACAATAATATGGTATTGGTGTGAAAAACAAGGTTTGATTATTTGATGTAACAGTTTTAGCATGAAAAGCTTGTGCATGTATTGACAAAAATAGAGTATAGATGTAGAAACAAATGCCAGAATATTTGGACATCACTTTAACTTCAGACAAAAACTTGTAATGACAACAATATGGTGTACAAGTAAAAACAATATATGAATATAATATGCTGGCTCTTGGCAACAAACTGTACAAATATTGACAATAATATGCTAAAGATGTAAAAACAATGATAGAGTATTTGAATATTTTTTTTCACTTTAATGAACAAAATATGTAATCTCAAGTAGCTTCTGAGTTTAGATACATCATTTCTAATAATATCCTCCCAGGTTTCCTATTTTCCAACACAACTCTACTCTCATCTACATTTAATCCTAGCAACTCTTCTCAATTTTCCTACAGCAACTCCACTTTCAAACTAATATTCAGCCACATTTTTGTTATATTATCTCAGTATCATGCTTCCACTCCTTTTGATTTCTAGTAATCTGTTGTTACCACTACAGCTTCTGCCATTGACTGTGCATCTCTCCTCCTGCTACCTTTCAATTATTAACATTTTCCTAGCAATCTTAAACCAAATAATTTTCCTATTCTTGATAAGTCATCTACTTCCAATGAAAACAACAAATTTACCAATATTATGCTGATATATCCCCTCTTCATCTATTCCTTTCAATTAAACTTCTGCTACTCCTGCTAATAATACTACAAAAAATGCATCCCACAATAAATATGAAATTTTTAACAGAAAACATTTCCAGAAATGTTTGAAACTGTATTAAAAACATTAAACTTTCACTCAGAAGAAAACTGTTCCTCAAACCTCACCAACCATAATGAAATATCAATATTTGATGCATGCAACTCACCACTTATAACCACACCACATACATAAATTTTTTAACATATGAAGCAATCAAATAGGTTAATATACCCACCAAACACTGGAAAACAACCTTCTGTATCTCACAGTCATATTAGTAAACGAAGTGATCACACTAGTCTTATCACTAAAAATCATACTCCATCTGCCAAATCTAACATCAATATGTGAAAGAGATGTGGTGACTGTAACTTTGGAATTCATAAGTGGGAAACATGAAGAAGTTATGCTTTTTTCAAATATTAACTCCACAACTTTTAAGTATTGGAAATATAGTTAAAAAATATAAAAAATAAAAATAAACCACTTCAAGGTAACTAAATAATGTATAAAAAGAGCGATTGAACTTGACAGCTGCCAAAAAAAAAGTGATAGTTTGGCAGTGGCGTGTAGAGGGAGTCACATGTGTCACGTGATAGTAATGCTCTCCTATTGTTGGAGAGGTGACACGTGATGATCTGCATGAGAGACGTGTTGGAACTTTAGATTCCAACAGAGGGAAGATGAAGGCTTGTAGCATGCATTTCTGAAAAAGTTTGAATATAGAGGGCACCCCAAAATGAGAAAAGTTAATCTTGTGAGAGGAGGGAGATTACCTTGTCGGAACCTGTGTTAACAGTAACATAGTAGAAAAGTTTAGTTTATAAGTATTGTTTCATATTTCAGAATTTCAAACAGACTAAGTTTCACAGTAAGAATTTATAATACATTACAAATCTAAAAAATAAAGTTACCATACATGTATAGACTTACCTTTTATAGTATACTAGATAAATTTCAGTGTGAAAAGTAAAATAGTTAAACTTACAAAGTACAGCATAGCCATCTTTGACTGATGCAGGAAAAGGTGGGATATTGTCAGCAGATGTTATTTCTTCAGCTAACACATATCCAAGTGCTTCTGTATGAAGAAACATACACTGACCATACAATGTATATACAAGTAGTATTTACCAAATGTTTTAATATTAAGAACAATGTGGGCAAAGAAAATATTTGAAATAAATCATTCTTATTTCAATTACAACATGCAGTAAGAGTTAAAGAAATTGATAAGTAAAACTCTTCTTGTATGAGCAAACAGTATTATATGAACAGATAATATACAAATGTATATTCACCAGTAGACTTTCCACATCTACAAAAAAGTTAGTAATAAAATAACTAATGAAAAACACACAAACACGTTCCATTCAATCATACTGATATACTATGAAACCTACAGAACTACAATCCTGATAAACATTTGTAAAATTATCCTTTCCCTTAAGTTTCTAAACACTCATTATTAATTGTAACACACATTTATATATGACATAGAGAGATACAAAATTTATAGAAAATAATAATACTATTCAGGTACTTTTGTTACTAGTTTACCTTCGAAATCCAAGATCTGAGTTTGTAAACAGTCAGCCTCTTTTAGAACAACAGCTTGAGCTTCTGCAACAGAGATTAAAGGATATGGAGACTGACGTGGCTTGTCAGATACAGTTACCGTCATCTCTTCATGTTCTGAAACATAAGCTCAACATAAGCACTCATGTGTGGCTTTATTAGATTTTTGTGTATAGCTAAATGCCTCAAATTTTTAAAACGTTTCTGAGAACAATAAATATTTTCTCACACATCTAATTTAACAGTTCACAATTAATGTTTAATCTACCATAACACCAATGTAGGTTACTGATAAAAAAAATTAATCTAGATATTCATGTAATACTATCATAATGATGATTTCAATCATGCTACAATAAATTGTGACTTAGATTTGTACATCCATGTCAAGATATAACTAGTTGATTTACAATAAGTATTTTGTTTTATGTATTTTTGTAAAGATATGTACTTACTCTTCTTGGGGTAAGTCTTACATGAAGCATGCTACAAAGAAATATTACAAATTGTTGATACTCTTAATAAAAATAAACAATGATATAAATTACATATTTGACATGAAGCATGCTACAAAAGACTTCTTACAACACATTATATTCTACTATAAAGAAACATTAATATAAGTTCTAAATTGCAATCTTTAACCCAGATTTAGTCATAAATAATATATTTATGGAACACACCTCAGCTACAAAAATTTCAATATTTTATGTTAGATGTTATTTTTTATATAATTAAATTAAAAATGTGCTTATATATGTTTAAAACAAAGATTATGTTTTGTCTTGGATATAAATATTAATATTTTTGTGACTAGCTATCACAAACGCTTTTTACTTACATTTCAAAATGTTTATCAATATAAATAATATATGTACATTTGTGACACTGTGTAACCAGAAATGGTGCCACTATGAAGTTTTGCATTATATTTAATAAACAAATCATGTGTAAAACACCTATCACAGTATGCAGATACACCACAAAAATCCTACATAGTGTGTGTCATCAAGCACACTAGAAGTGATTTACAGCTGACTAAACCTGTATCTGAGCATTAGGGTCAAGTAACATACTCGTAGAATCTAACAAAACCTTTACTATCTGTTCACAGTTTAGTAATTTACACTGTAGCATTAATATCACAAATTAATTTTTTCTAACTTTCTAAGAATGTTAGAAAGGTTATTTTTTTCACATATATCATGTACAGAAATGAAGTTATAACCATACTCTTAGAAATCTGTGTGTTTCATCAATTTTCTCAGTATCTGCATTGAGCTGATCTACAGCATGAGGTATTGCTGATTTTACAAATGCCATACATTGCTGAAATATACAAAAAACTTCAGTTACTATATGTATTTATACTCATACCTAATTTTAAGTAAATATTACACATAGGCTAAATCAGATAACATATGGAGTTAGATTATATATTCTTAACTAATCATTAAAGAAAGATGAAAATTAAGTCATACAAGCTAATGTAGAACAGGTACATCAAAGGTATACTTCAAAAAATAAATTATTAACAGAAATAAAAGTTAATAACTTAAGTGAATTCTATGTTTTTCCAAAGAAGAATGTGACAAGCAAGAAAATAATAGTTTATACACAAAATTGATTAGTCAATCATTACAAATATGCATTATACACACACAATACAAACATAGTATTTAAGGGAAATCAGTTATTACTACTTGGTGAATGAAACAGATTACAATGTGGATTTTTTTCGTGAATGAAATTCCCCCAGTTTGTAAACATGTAGTAGAAAATCACATTGTACTGTCACTCTTTTAGACATATGTAAATAAATAGAAATCATGCACCAGTACTTACTTCTTTCAAAATTTTTGTTCATGGGATAGTCATGTGCACATCATATGTTTTAAAATTTGATAATGACGAACCCACTTTTTAGAAAATAAATGTTTTGAGATGGCTTGACTGGGTAATGAAAATACTTTCTCATAAATGTATGATGTTTCAACAAGATTTTGTCATCCTCAGGTACAAGTAGTTTACAGAGATACACGAGTGTATATACAGTATAGAACAAAGAGGTCACATGACCAGATATTGCTTCACAGTCTAATATAGGTATCTTGGTACTCTGGGGTGTTGATTAAAGGTGGGACTACTAGGACCTATACTATCCACTTATGACTCCATTAACTATAATGTTGGTAAATACATAGCCTGGGCCCTCACACCTTACATAATTTCTGTAGGTTCCTTTTATAAAGATGTCTTTAACTACAGAAACACATTCAACCAACTAAACCCCAAAAGCCTTAATGGTTAGCTTTGATGTTGTATCACTTTTCACCGAAGTTCCCATCAAAGAAGCCTGTAATGTTGCACTTGATCTCTACAGTAATGACCCCAATTCCTTAATTCATATCTCCAACAAACTTTTCATTTCCCTTTTAGAAAGCACAAAAAAAAACCAACTTCATTTTCAACAACAAAAACTTTCGTCAAACAAATGGTTTAATAATAGACAACCCTGTTTCACCCATTCTCACCAACACAGTTATGATCCAGATCGAAACACAAGCCATACAATCCACACTTTATCCTCCCCTATACTGGTACAGATATTTTGACGACACTTTTGCCAGTTTCACTTCTATATAACACATAAACACTTTTTTGAACACATAAACTCCATTCACCTTAACATTAAATTCACCATTGAACACAAAAATAACAAACAGTTGTCTTTTCTTAACCGCGACAGTATTAGATCTCTCTCACACATTTCAAAACCAAAATTCACTAAAAAATCACTCACACAGGCCTCTACATCCACTGGAATTCCACCCACGAATCTAAACAAAAAATTAATATCCTAAAAAATCTTATATACACAGCTTCAAGACTTTGCTCAACTGAGTAAACAGATGAAAAAATCTACTCTATAAAGCATTCCTTCATTCACACCAACAAATTTCCACTAATCATTGTTGAAATATTTCCACACAACCATCAGAACAAAAACCTTAAAACTCAACTCACAAACAAAACTGACACTAATACACCAAACAACAACAGAACATTACACTGCAGTTTACCATTTATCCCTGACATTAGCCACAAATAATCAACACATGGAGAAAACTTGCCATCAAATATAAAATTCCCATTCACATCAAATTCACCCAAAAACCCATCACTAAACTAAAATCATTATTAAATAAAAATCATGTAGAATAACACAATTCCAACATCATTTATAAAATAACATGCAATAACTGTCCAGAATTTTATATTGAAAAAACAAATCCTCCAATGTTTACCACTATTGCACCCCCAAAAACACAGTATATTCATGCAAAACACTATAATTTTAAACAAAGAACCTAACATCAATAAATGCAAAATAAAATAAGCTATTTTAATTGAAGAAACAGTCCCACCTTAAATCAACACCTCTTTGTTCTATACTGCATATATATTCATGTATCTCTGTAAACTACTTGTACCTGAGGATGACAAAATCTTGTCGAAACATCTTACATATACACCTGGAAAAAAGTTAAGCACCCCCGTGTTTTTTTCAAGTGATTCAGATTCGACGTTCTTGTGACTGATTATAAATTACCATTCAATCTAAACGTGTTTATCAAATGAAATTATGCATTATTGGGC